AGAGAGGTCAGGGGATGTGGACAGAGAGAGGGACACAGGGACAGAGAGAGGGACAGAGAGAGGGACAGAGAGAGGGACAGAGGGACAGCGGGACACAGGGGTCAGGGACTGTGGACAGAGAGAGGGACAGAGGGACAGAGAGAGGGATATAAAGACAGAGGGACAGGGATAGAGGGACAGAGGGACAGAGATAGGGACACAGGGACAGAGGGACAGAGGGCAGAGGGACAGAGGGACAGGGACAAAGAGAGGGACAGAGGGACAGAGAGACAGAGCGACAGAGAGACAGAGGGACAGAGAGAGGGACATAGAGACAGGAACAGAGGTTCAGGGACACAGGGACAGGGACAGAGAGAGGGGTGAGGAGCTGCAGGATAGAGGGCAGCAGGACAGGGACAGAGGAACAGAGAGACAGCAGGACAGTGGAACAAAGGGACAGAGGAGCAGTGGAAAAGATGGACAGAGGGACAATGGGAAACAGGGACAGAGGGACAACAGGACAGGCCGTGGCACCCACAGCACCCTCACCTCGGTGATGCCGGTCCCCGACACGGTGCTTTCCGAAGGCCACAGGCTTCCCTCCTGCATGGGGAGGAGAGAGGGCACAGTGAGGGCACAGTGAGGGCACAGTGAGGCCGGTGCCAGCGGGGCTGAGCTCCTGTCACCCAGAGCAGACACTGCCACCAGCGCCCTCCTGCACCATGGTCACCTGTGCTGAGCTCAGGGTGCGTGCTCAGGTGTGAGCACAGCAGCACTGCAAACACCCCGACAGCTCAGGATCGCATCCCTCTGCCCCTCCATCCCCGTTTATCAGCTCACTCAAGGATGAATGATGAGGACATCCCCAGCAAACAGCCCTCTCCCGTTTGCAGACCTCCCCCTGCCCGCCCCCACGCCCCCAGCACGGTTCTTTCCCCGGTTCAAACATGTCAGAGGAGTATTTTTCAATTTGTGATCCACGAGCCGTGGGTGTTTCACAAGACATCAAAAAATGCTCCACGAAATAATGACAAGATTAAAAAAAACAACGAAAACAACAAAAACCAAACCAAAAAAAGCCCCCCTCACACCTACATTCTGATGCTCACAACCACRGACATCATGGAAAAATGGAGATAATAAGTGAATAACCAAATGTTAAGCCTAATTTTGAGTGGCTAAAAAAAAAAATTAAAAAAAATCTGTAGCAACAGGATGGTTCCAGAGTATTTTTTCCCCCAAACAGTAAGTGGTTCTAGGCTTAAACAGACTGAAGTGTGGAGGTTTCCTTACACTGCAAGCATCACCCTGATGCTGAGATCCAAACCTCAGTGCCAACAACCCCAGGCACAGCAAAGCCACGATTTCCCCCAAACCCCGAGACTGGTTTACAATTCATGATCAAAACAAACAAACAAAGGTTCTTCCCATCTGCTGGTGATACTCTGAGCACGCACCCCTCACCCCAGACATTTTTGCCTTAGGAACTGCAATATTTAAATATTGCTAATATTCACATATAGCAACATCCCTCTGGCAGGCAGAGCTGGAGGAAAACAGCCAGAAGGCTTGTAATTATAACTTGGAACTTCCCAGCTCCTCGCAGGTGAATCTCCAGTTCTGGCACTAGCAAGACAGGCACAGGCAGAAGTGTTTAGCACCAGTGGAAAAAACAATGCCRTGGGAAAAAGAAACCCCYTTTTTTCCCTCTAAGTGTCACATGMAGAGGCCATTCTGAGCAAACCACACACCTTCCTGCTGGGAGAACACAGATTTCTCCACCTGCCCTAAACACAGCACCAGCACCTCATTCAAATCTCCAGAGAAACCACCCAATGCATCCCTCACACTCCCATTTCCTCATTTTCCCCAGTGCTGGAATGTGTTTTCTCCTGTGGCATTGCCTGTGGTGTCAGCAATGGACGGAACCCATCAGGTTCTGGGTTTTGAAGCTCAGCTCTGGAAGTGCTGGTGCCAGTGCAAGGAAAACAGTGATTTAAATGGAAATGGCACTGCCCAGAGCCTTTCCCCTTCTCCATGTTTTTTCCAGGAGCATCTCCTTGGAGCAGGGGTGARGTGCCACAGTGCCAGCCCCTTCCCTGGCCCTGGCTGAGGGATGCTCTGGTTGAGCAAGACAACCCTCCCAACCCATCCCAGACCTCAGGATTCCAACATGCAGCTGTTTACACAGGCATCGACTGTTTAGTCTGGTCCATTTTACACATTTTCTTGCCTGCAGGGACAGTCTGCAGCCAAATTCCTCCAGCGGCCAAAAGATCCAAGAGGAGGACATGTCTTCACCTCCAATGTGCGCTCAGACACTGACACCAAAGGGCCCAGGGAGGATTTCCAGCACCACCACAACCCGCCACCTCATCCCAAAGGACACTGAAGCACTCCCAAAGTTGTGTTTACTTTGCTGTGCCCCCGTGGCAGACTTCCCAATCAGCGAGTACCCCGCTGCCTTCTGCTCGCTGGGTTATATTTAACTCGGCGGTGGGCAGTGCAATATCCCATCTGCTCCCCCCTTTCCTGGAGGGATGGCAGCCAGTCCCACGAGGGTGGCAGCAGCCTGGTGACTCCCTGGGACATCCCAGGGGTGCAGGGATGGGCAGGGTGCTGCACCCAAAACACCCAGAGCACTGTGTGCCCACTCACTCAGAGGTTCTAGAGCATCTGGAGTCACAGCTCTGGCTCTCACAGTGTTCTGTTCACACAGAGGAGCTCCAGGAATCTTACCCTGGGCAGCAACATGTGGATGCAACCATAGGAAAGCGGCAGAAATTGTGAAAATGGGATGTGCAGAGAGAGGAGAGGAGGGCAGGCAGGAGAACCCTTCCTGCAGGAGCTGGATCTCCGTTAATTGATCACCTCCCCCATGGCTGAGCAGCCACTGTTCCCCAGCACCACCCCTGCCTCACACAGCACCCTAAAAACCAGCAGGGGAACAGCTCAGCCCTCCTAAAAAYACCACAGCAGGAGTAAAATTGCTGGAAATCAGTATCCAGAGGAGGGCAAAGCTCCAGGGACAGAACACACCCCAAGGGTTTTAGCCCTCACTGTGGTCCTGGGATGGTCCCACAGCCCCCTGAGCCAGGCAGAACTGCAGGAGCAACATCACTGCAGCCCTCAACCTCTCCTCACTCGCCTCTGATTCCCAGAAAGTTTAGGACTTGAGTCCATCTCAACAATGAACAGCCTAGAAATYCCTGGATTTCTGAAATGAGAGCTGAGATTCTGCTGTCTGGTGAGCAGCAYGGCTGTAAAAGCCTCCACAAGTATTCCAGGACCTGCTGCAGAACCTAAAATTACTTTTTRATTTCTTTTTAGAGATCAATCTTCAACTTTTTTAGAACTACATGTTTTAGTGATGTCAGAGAATTTTGTCTGTAAAGGATAACAGTCCGGATTAAGACTCTGAGCCATCAGAAACACTCATATTTTCTATTTTGGGAACAAATGTGTGCTTGGAAATTGCATTTACACCACTTTTTCTTGGGGAGTGCAGGGACACAAAGGTGCAGGGACAGTGCCATTCTTAGGAAAAAAAAAAAGCTGTCAGCAACATTTCTTAAATATTCTTAGTTCTGGAAAACAAAAGGTACTCATCATAAGGAGACAAGAGTTTAAATACAGTGAGAAGGCTGATGGAGGAATGCATGAAGTAATACAAAAACTGCTTGCCAGCGAGAGCCGCATTAAAAAACCCTTTAGGGAAATTAATTTCTCCTTCAGCTGTAATTTTTGAGCTTCAGCAACAAAAAAGGACAACTCCAGCAGACCCAGCAGCATCCTGACCATGGGATGAACTGCTTTAATATTTCAGCAGATGAAAAGCGTGAACGCAGCTCCAGTGCCCGTCCGCGGTCACGGCACCAAAATGAAGTTTGGGATTTAAAAAAGCCCAACACCAGTTCAGTGCAAGTTTAATGGATTGCATGAACCAGTATCCAGTCCAGAGTGGCCTCTGCCTGCCAGRCTCCAGCCCTCCCTCGGACTGGAGCTGCCTTTAAGGTTTTTATGAAGCTGGATCCCACTGGAACGAGCTCATTAGAACACGAGGGGCTCCTCTGTCCCATCAGGATGGTGCTGGCACCACAGGAAATCTCTGCTGTCACCCCATTTGTGCCGCTCAAACACCATGGACAGGGCAGGGACAGGGCAGCAATCATAAACATGGGAAAAAATTTAAAAAAACAACCAAAATTACACATTTCTGTTTCTCTCCTTAGCTCCGACAAAGGGTTTTGAAGACTCCACATCTTTGCTGGGGTCGAGCAGAGGCAGAGAGGTCAAACTCTGCTGAAAAGCCATTTAATGACTGATGGGTCTGAAGGCTGAATAAGTATCAGAGCTGAGCTAAAAGAATGGCTGGAAATTTTGGCCTAGTAAAATTTAAAATAGAAAAAAAAAATAATAAAGGGGGGAAAGGAATTAATTCTTAAAGAGTCAATTTTTCATTCAACCTGAAATTTTTGGTCAATCTCCATGTGATTTTCTCTTCGTTTTCCATGTTAGCCTCCTTAATTCTTTTTAAAGAAAATAAGAAACAGGCCACTTAARAAAACAGAAATGACTGTGTTAAAATAAAGAGGGCTTGATCTGAACTTTGCTTTGAAAACGCAAAATGACACATTTGGCACTGCTCAAGTAAAACATTCTGGACATGATAATTCAGTAAAAGAATCTGAAAAGGGGAAAACATTGTTCCTGCTATTTTAATAACTCGTGCTCGGGTGCCCACACTGCTGCTGCTGCGGGTGGGATCGTAAAGGGAACGGGAGAGTTCCGGGTGGAGCTGGGACACGTGTGGGGAGCTGGGCTCTGAGCCCCAAAACAGGAGATGCTTGAGTGATCTACACCCTCACACCAGCTGGTTTAATGTGGGATCAGGGATCCTGTGGGATTGAGCATCCTGTGGGATTGAGCATCCTGTGGGACCAGGGAGAATGTGGGATCCAGGATCCTGTGGGATCAGGCATCCCCAGCACTCTGATCCCACTGCAGCAGTTCCAGATAACCCCGAGCTGGCATCACCCTCTGGAGTGATCCAGAGCCCATGGAATGAGGGCTGGGTTACTGGGATTTGGGTTTGCCCAGCTCTTCTTCCCATGGGGCATCCCCCTCYCAAAGCAGCCCATAAAGGATCTGTGCCTGCTGCGTGTGGTGTGTGACAAAAACAGCAGCTACAGGGACAGCCCCTCAGCTGAATTGAAGGCAGGCGTAGTGAAAGATTTTAGGTATGTCTCTCTCAAAAAAAAACAGAGAAAAGAAAATGGAAAACAGAAAAGGAACCCCCCAAGCAATCAAGTATTTGATCTTTTTTGGGTTTGATTCAGGGGAGCACGGCCCCATACAGGGCACCCCACAGCACCAGCGGTGTGTCCAGCCTGTCCTGGGAGCCTGAGGAGGAGGGGGATGGGGCAGTGGCCATGAGGGGCCCTATTGCTTAAAGGGTCCCTATTGTTTAAAGGATCCCGATTGTTTAAAGGATCCTATGTTTAAAGGATCCCAATTGTTTAAAGGGTCTAAGCAGTGAACAGCACCGCTCAGCCACCAAGGAAAGCAGTGCTTTTCCTCCACACATCCTCTGAGTCTCTCTGAGCCACCACATTTGAGGAAACTGCCCGAACCAACATCTGCCTCGGGGCTGGAGAGGTTTCCCCTCAAATCCCTGCCCGAGGTACAATTCATATGTTTTTTCTTGAGCTTTCACAGAACCTGGATTATGAAGAGACTCTCACATCCCCCTTGGAGAGATCTCTGCTCATCTGGCTGACCCGAGTGTCCTGGCCCTGCCACCACAGCRATGGCAGCAGCACTGGGGAGCCCTGCAGTGAGTCTGTCAGGATTTCCTGCTCCCTGCAAGGCAGSCAGGAAGGTTTTATGGGGTCACTGAGWCTAACTGGAGCCAAAGGATGGGRCAATTTGGGGCTGYTAAACCAAGGRGTATGAACCCCAAGCAGGGGAGGGWGTTGGTTCCAGGATCAGGACATGCCAAGAGCAGCCTCGTGAAGTCACTTTAATGCTGTAAAATCAGATCCACAAAGCTCAGGGCAAAGGCAAAGGTTGTGGCTGCCTATCCATCAGCACACACAGCACCCTACAGAGCCAGAAGCACCCCAAAACGCCCTCCCACCCCCAATAACTGAGAGACAGATGATGCCAAGGCCAAATTCAAGCTGGCTGGGGTGGATTGAAGAGCAGGGAGTGACTTACTGAGGAGAGGTTCTCGTCCCGCCGCCGGCCCTGGCTGTGCCGGCTGATGAAGGATCGCGCAGAGAGTTTGTAGTGGTTCAGCAGACACGTGATCACCACCACCATCACCATCATCACCACCACGATTATGATTATCTGTACAAACTCCAACTCCGCTGCAAGAGAGACAGACAGACAGACAGACAGAGAGACGGTGAGCCGTGGGGAACAGCAGCAGGGAATTCAGCACAGGAACAGCAGAAGAGGCTGTGCCCTTCCCGTCACAGCTCTCACACGTGGGCTCCGTGTGCCCTGGACCCACAAAAACCTCATTCATTCCCTTTTTCAGCMTCCCAGAAGAGTCTCCAGGAGGGATTTTTAAAGACAATCCATAGTGCAGAGTGTGTCCAAGCTCCAGCACAGACCGGACTTCCCAAAGCCCTCCTGGGTGTCCCCAGCACTGGGCACAGACCCAGGAGCACCCCAGTGCCTCACGTGGCTCTCTGGGAGCACAAAACAACACAAACCATCCCAAATAAAACAGTTCAGTTAAATTCCTGCAGCTCTTCCCATCACCTTCACTCCTTCCTGCGGGGAGGACGGGACTGAGCCCTCTTTGGGACATCCCTTATGTGCCAGGGGTCAGACAGTGGGGACAGTGGGGACAGTGAGGGGACAGTGAGCGGGACAGTGAGTGTGACAGTGAGTGTGACAGCTCAGGGACAGCACAGCAGGCAGTGGCAGCCCCCCTGCCCCAGGAAACAGGCGGGGGCACCTCCTGCTTGCCGGTGAGACGCCAGATGGGTGCGGAGCRCCCGCCACGGGGGCACATCCCGGAGCCCCAGACATCCCTCGGCTCAGGGCTCGGCCAGCTGACAGCAGCAGCTTGAGTGGCTTCAACTGGCAGAGAGGAAAACTGCCAAAACCCCCTCCAAACAAACAAGAACAAGCAAACAACAGACTTAGCCCGTTAACTCTGCAGACACTTGGCAGGAGGCGGCGAGAAGCCACTCCTAAAATTTCCTAAGGAAATAATTCCTCACACCTCTCTGAGGCTTAGGAAAATTGAGTACTGGAGGCAAACACACTGCTGGGTCATTATTTCCATGAATTTGGTGCCCAGGGAGTACATGCCATTCCCAAAATGCTCAGTCACTCCCCCCATCCCTCTCCGTGCCCAGCACTGGCAGCAGCAACTCCAGCGCCCAACAGAAAGGAGGGGCCAGACAGCGAAATTCAATCATTCCGGGGATTTACACTTTGTTTGCTTCTCAGCAGCGACAGCTATAAAATCCAGTTTGGGAAAGCCATGCCCTGAGCTATGGTGGATGCTGCCATCTGTATTTAATCTACACAGACACACACATATATATATATCTGCAGACACACAGCGAGCCCAGCAGACCTCAAAGGGCACCACTCACACCAGCTGGGGTGGCTTCTGCTGAGTCAGGCAAACTTTTTTTATTTATATATATATATATATTTCTTTTCTTTATGGAAAGTTTTCTCCTGACAGGTGGCATTTGAGTGCCAGTAAAAGCAAATAAATGTCAAGAAAACAGTCCAGGTGGTGAGTGCTGCCAGTTACCTTGGAGCTCTTTTCTGCTAAACAGCAGCTATTTCTGCCACTGCCCAAAATGCTCCACCAGCTCTGCCCACCGCCTGCAGAAAGCAGAATTATGCCTTGAAGGCAGGAGATTTCCTTATCTGGCACTTTGAATTAGGTGGATGAGGGGCTTGGAGCCCAAATCTTTCCAGCACCCCTAAAACAGAGTTGCCTCTACACCAGAGGGCTGCAAATTGGGTGGGAAAACAGGGATTAAAAGCCAAATGTTGTACAGGAGTTTGGCCTTTAAAATGCTTTTTATCTGAAATGACAGACAAACTCTGGGTCTTTCACAGCAACCCCAAAAAGGTGCCCAGTGTCACCGTGAGAGGAAGAGCACGGAAAAACCCACATTGCCAAAAATGTGACCCGGCCCCAAAGTCTGAGGGACTCCAGGGCTGCTCCTGAGCTGGAACAGGAGCTCGCTGCTTCTCAACAGGACCCACAGTGACCCCAGGCACAAACACACCAAAACCCACAGGGCTGGGAAAGAGAACGGTGCAAAAACATTAAAAAACAGGTGCGGTGACTCTTCCTRCATCACCCCACTATGTCAGGGTGTCCCTACACCCCAAAGACACGTCCTGTACTGAGCTCTGTTGCATCCTCCCAGCCTCCAGCACCCATCCACMAGCAGGGTGAAGCCCCAGCACCCCAGCCAAGCACAGGGTACCCCACAGCACCCCTGGGTGCTGCCCTGGTCACCCATGCACAGCCAGACCCCAGAGCCMCCATTCTGCCCTCCCCGTGGGCAGCAGAGCCATCCAGCCCAGGCACAGAGCCCACCTTCCACACAAATCATCATGGAAAAGAAAAAACTAAACAAAAAAAACCCCAAATGGTTTTAGGAAGATGAGTCACCTCAGCCTCAAAATGCAGCATGTGCTTCGGCCACGGTAAGAAAACACAAGAAATATATAAATTAAGCCATGATGGAAAACTTCCTTTGCTGTTAAAACAAGTTACATTTCTGAAGAAAACAAGACCAAAGTAGTTGTAAARGAAAGTTTCTTTCCTAGGACAAGAGACTCCTTAAATGAACCAAACCTTGCTGAATCGGTGCTGATACTTCAGTGACACAGGTGAAATTTTGGCCACGGGGAAACGCTGCTCTAATTCCTTCCCAAGCAGGAACACAGCAGATGTGTCAGTCACAAATGACCTAAACCTGCACACAGACACAGAACCAGCAGAGCCCGAAGCAGAAGGAAGGCTGGGAATCCCATCAGCATCTGGGACACACAACACTCAGTGTCTCACCCATCCATCCTGTAATTGGGATTACACAACCCTGGCCAAGAGCTGCACAGGAAGGCACAGGGTGATTGTCAGAACAAAGGGGATGCTGCCTTCCCCCAGGGATGCTCCTCCTGCCCCATCTCTGTCCCAAACTCAGAGGARCAGCCCAGCCTCACCATGCCCAGGAGCAAACCCATCCCTTAGGCAGAGACCAGCTTTAATCCCAACAACACTGAAATTGCCCAATCTGGCCTTTGGAAAAAATAAAATAAAAGTCAAACCAAACCAAAAAAAAAAAAAAGGCCCACACATTCAATTTGTGCTTTTCATGTTTCAAGAGACTCATACCCACTCGAGGCACCAAAGTTTCTGCCAACTCTCTCTCTGTTTTCTATGTTTTAACTTGTCTTCTTTTCCGCAGAAGGGAAAACAAACCCAACACACTGCAAAGCTGGATATATTCAGTAAGATTTTTATCCAAGCAGCTCAGTCAAACTAATGAAGAAAGATCATTAAAAACCCAAAGTTTGAGTTAATATGTTATTATACAAGTGCAATTCAGCTGCTATGCTAATAAAAAGCCTTTGGGGGATGAAAAACAAGCCAAACTGCAAAGCWCATAATTTATAATTCTACTGGTATTCTTAAAAACACACACACAACAAAACAAGAAAAAAAAAACACTCAACACATTTTGTATTTGGCTTCCTAATCATTGTCACTTTTCAATTAGGAGAGACCTCATTCCATTTCTCTCTGTAATTTTCCCCAAGGGAAGTGTTATAAATGCACTAGGCTTTACAAGATGGGCATATTCCGCCTCCAAATGCAAAGCAAGGTCACACTAATTTAATTTCGCATAATTTTTTATTCCAGAATACGTTTCAAACTAACAGGTTCAGACATCACATTTAAGTGACACAACCTGCTTTCCCGTATTTTCCGTCTAGACGCGGCAGCTCCGGGAGCTGTGCGTGCCACCGTTCTGCAACCAAGCACTTTCTCCCCCAGATCCTCACCACCCTAAAAATGGGAATTCGTGACCCAGTAGAATCCCTTGTCACGTCCCATTCTTCACGTTCACGGCTCGCTTGTCACCTCAAACCACGCGTGGCCTCGAAGAAGGGGTTCGCCGTGGGTTATGGGGATGTTTTTGTGAGTGATTGGGGTTTTCCTGCTCCCCAAAGCCCGTGGTTCCTGCTCTGCTGTGTTTAGAGGAGATCATGCCCTTGCTGCCCACCCTGCTGCCCGGTTACCAGGACCAGAAAGCTCCAAAGTGTCTGAAATTTAAGGATTTCTGCGCCCTGAAGTGCTGGCCACGCTCCTCCCATCGCAGAGCTCGCTCATGGCTCTGCAGGATTTGAGGCATGAAGGGGCATCTGGGAGCATCCTYGAGAGCCTACAAATAAAATACCAGCACCCACAGGGTTAAATTAATTAATATATTGCCAAGGAGGGGGAGGGATTTGTGTCAGTGGTCGCTGGGAGCACCCTGATGGCTGCAGGGGAGGTGAGGCTGGAAAATACTTTAAATGCACTGCCTTGCCTTTTACAGCTGCACTACAGTTCATAAATACCTCCCATAAACTTTATTAATGCTCTTCCTTCCTCATAGAGTATCTGCGAGGAAGACAAACGCTCCAAACCACTGCAAGTGTAAGGGAGACTGAAAGAAAACACCCCAAAACCCTGTATTTTGCTGCAATCATTCCAGATCCTCCAGCTATCATTTACAGGTAGACAGAACAGCTTTCAGGCAGCGCCTTAGCCAAGATTATCTTTGCTTTAAGCCAGGTATAACACACTTCTGCAGGTCAAACCAGCCATCCCTAACCTTCAATTACAATTTCTATGGATACTGGAATTGTGTRTCGTGTGAGAAGTGATGGGAAGAAGTGAAGTTACTCAGGAGATAATGGCTAAGCTGAAGAAATCTAGCTGCACTGGCCACAATTCCTAAGAAAAAAAAAAAGTTAAAAAAAACCTCCAGCCATCAGAAATGTTGTGGTATATCGTGCTAAAGTCCAGGTCTGTTTTGCTGAGACAAAATTAAAGCAAGCACACAATCCCCTGCAGAATACTTGCTTCCTTTAGGTTCACTTTCACTTCCTCTGGGTATTTTTTTCATTAAAAAACCCTCAGTTCTGATTTAAAACATTGCTGGGACAGCTCAAGTGTGATGGGTCTGCTCACAAGCTCACACAGACTATCCAAAACATGCTCTTAAGGGTGTGGAGAAACAACTCCTGCTGCTGATTTCATCTTCTGGGGGACACAAAGATGTGTCTCACGGTGTGAGACAACCCAGGCAGGGTGAGAGACCTCCTG